TTACGGCAAATTATCAAGATAATTCAGTCGACTGTAAGCAGAATCATTGAGTTATATAACCAATAAGGAATACCGATTATCCCATTCACTTTTACTTTATTTTAATGTTTCAACCATTTTATAAGAGTTACCTTCTTACTATAGATTCTATTTGTACTAGATAAGGAATTTAATGAGATGCGAGGAGATCACTTATCAACTAGTTACTAGTAAATTCCTTTTATATTGTCTGTTTGAATCTGCCCTTTGGTGTTTAAGACTTCAATTGATCAGTCTCTTATTAGCACATGTACATTCTATGCGGATTACATCGATATTACCTTAAATCACACGAAGTTTCAAATGAACAATACAAAATGAATTTAAACTTCATCCTATTGCACAAGCTAATGGCTATCTGAACTCACTAGCTAAATCGATAACGTGATGACATTTGTAGTGAACACTACTGGATTCCATGCATGAATTGAACATCACCTATGAAATACAAATACATTCAGCTGACGAGTCCCAATTAAGACGAAACACGCATCATGCATTCCACTGCTAGCCATCATCAATCTTTACAAATTATAGTTACTAGTCAAGCACCAATGAAATATACGTCTGTTATTCTCTAATTTAATATATAGCTATTCTTAAGTAATAATCAAGCTAATAGATCGATTAAATTTTCTTTTTAAAAATGACATACATGATCTAATCAATTTATCTTCATTATTGTGATGAAATTTACTTATATTACTGAAAAGGGAATACAAGAATACAGCCGTTTTATACTACTATTAAAATAGTATCCTTTGTCTACAGATAGATATCTTTGATCCGATCCGATTGATTCAATGTTGAATGGATTCAACTTACTCATCACAATACATGGATTCATTTAACAATGAAATGTTATCTATAAACTCATTAACAAATAACAAAGGTTGTTTAGAAGAAGTAAGTTTCATATTCAATTTGTGCGAATATTAAATTTTCTTATGAATATATAAAGAATAAATATGAACTTTTAGTTCTAGAATAAAGATTTCAATAGTTGAGATCATGAGTCAATTGAAACTAGACCACCATGGAAAATCTAGATGCACTGGACGTCCGTTTCGTCCTATTGTGGGACCCCTCAGCAGTGCCCATCCACAACCTCGCCTCGCGAAATTCGAACTCAGGACCAAACAGTCTCGCGCGCGATATCTAACTTCAGTCAATCCACGAAATGCAGTGACACATCCACCAATGTCTTCAGTGAGTTACTATCTCACAACAGACCCGGTTGAACTCCACTGCTCACTGCTTCTCACCAGAACTCCAGGAAATATCTCTTGAAACCAGTCATTAATTATTATCTAAATAAGAATATGAATGACAGTGCGGGATGATTGAATTTAGGTACATAGAATATTAAAATTCGACTTTATGATCCATTCTTAATGTGAAATTCTTGAATATGATATCTGATTAAGTCATTCATGTACACCGCTAAAATGTTTCAAACTTGAACAAGTATTCAGCGTTGCATGATCTTTAACGGTTTCTTGACATAGACCTCTCAGAGCAAAATGATATGAGAAAAAATAATACCTGTGTATAAGGAATAAAAAAGTAGAAAGAGTAAGAAAAAATTTGGATAAGCCTTGAATACAGTTACCGTTATAACTTTTAGTTATGAACTATGTGATGTTCGAATAATGAGATATCTAAAGTCTTACCCAATAAGTTGAAATTCTATTTGTAGGGCTCAATTCATCAATCAGTAATGGTATAGATTACTTTCTGCTAGGAATTAGAAGTAATCATCATTTACCACTAACCAACCTAAAACTTGCATGTAACTTGGTAACTAGATAATGTATATTTCATAACAACAATCGATAATAACGAAATGTTTAGGATTCATTTTCAACTTTGATAAAGTGATCATTTTTTGTTGATTTTGAAGTTTATGTTTATATCTAAGGTCATGTAAACAACATTTTGATCTCTTATTACCTTTACCATTCAACTGTTCTTCATTAGGTCCAATAAATTCTGAAGATGATGAAGAAGAACAAGAAGAACAACATGATGATGATGAAGAGTTGGACGAAAAGGTATATGTTAGGTTCGTTAACCTTGAGGATACTACTGATTCGACTTATTCGGAACGGAACGAAGGCTCAGGATTCAGAGACTCAATAGACTATTCTGGTCCGTTGTCTTCGACTCAGCTAACTCGATCAAGAAGTCTTGGTAAGGCGTAGAAAGTGTATTCTAAAAGCAACAGCAGATACCAAGTCAGGCAGGCAGATCAGATCAAGCATATAAGTCAAGCGTATTTATGCAATTATTTACAATCGATATTGTCATAGAAAATTTTCAAACATTAATCAATGAGTTCATTAATTGACCTATTTGCGCATTTAATCGATAGTTCATCAATTCACTGCTAATCAAACATTTAATCGATCAGTTCAAAAATTGACCCCAATACAAATCTTTAAACATTTAATCAATAAATTGATCGATGCGATAAAATTTAAAATATGAGTTTGGGGATCTATCGTCCGCAACAGAATATGATAATGTACATACTGAATTTGGGAAAATAGGTGATTATTTTAAAATCATTGATTTCATCTCAATTAACCAATTTGCTAGTTGGTCTACTTCAATTGTTCGCCTTGGTGAATGTAAACTATTATTCAATGTCCAGAAATCATAATGATGAAGTGAATTCTGTTGAAAAACAATTGATAAAATAAACATTGAAGTTTAATTGGTTAAAAAGTGTCAGATAAAAATTGCTGTTTGAAGTTGTGAGGAAGACCCATGGGTGAACTCGAGGAAGCTATAAGAAGCTTAGAAAAAGAGCTGAAGATATTCCATTCAATCATCTTTTGGAAGAATATTCCAGAATCCCTATGTGCAGTTTCCCTATTGGATAAATGCTAATAACCACCTGTATGCACATTTAAGGGCTACAATGAAGATTTCGTTTTTACTAGAAACTATAAATACCTGATATTTTTGTACCATAATTGATGCTAATAGATCGATTAAATTTTCTTTTTAAAAATGACACACATGATCTAATCAATTTATCTTCATTATTGTGATGAAATTTACTTATATCACTGAAAAGGGAATAAAAGAAGACAGACGTTTTATACTACTATTAAAATAGTATCCATTATCTACAGATAGATATCTTTGACCTGATCCAATTGATTCAATGTTGAATAGATTCAACTTACTCATCATAATACATGGATTCATTTAACGAGGAAATGTTTTCTACAAACTCACTAACAAATAACAAAGGTTGTTTAGAAGAAGTAAGTTTCATATTCAATTTGTGCGAATATTAAATTTTCTTATGAATATATAAAGAATAAATATGAACTTTTAGTTCTAGAATAAAGATTTCAATAGTTGAGATCATGAGTCAATTGAAACTAGACCACCATGGAAAATCTAGATGCACTGGACGTCCGTTTCGTCCTATTGTGGGACCCCTCAGCAGTGCCCATCCACAACCTCGCCTCGCGAAATTCGAACTCAGGACCAAACAGTCTCGCGCGCGATATCTAACTTCAGTCAATCCACGAAATGCAGTGACACATCCACCAATGCCTTCAGTGAGTTACTATCTCACAACAGACCCGGTTGAACTCCACTGCTCACTGCTTCTCACCAGAACTCCAGGAAATATCTCTTGAAACCAGTCATTAATTATTATCTAAATAAGAATATGAATGACAGTGCGGGATGATTGAATTTAGGTACATAGAATATTAAAATTCGACTTTATGATCCATTCTTAATGTGAAATTCTTGAATATGATATCTGATTAAGTCATTCATGTACACCGCTAAAATGTTTCAAACTTGAACAAGTATTCAGCGTTGCATGATCTTTAACGGTTTCTTGACATAGACCTCTCAGAGCAAAATGATATGAGAAAAAATAATACCTGTGTATAAGGAATAAAAAAGTAGAAAGAGTAAGAAAAAATTTAGATAAGCCTTGAATACAGTTACCGTTATAACTTTTAGTTATGAACTATGTGATGTTCGAATAATGAGATATCTAAAGTCTTACCCAATAAGTTGAAATTCTATTTGTAGGGCTCAATTCATCAATCAGTAATGGTATAGATTACTTTCTGCTAGGAATTAGAAGTAATCATCATTTACCACTAACCAACCTAAAACTTGCATGTAACTTGGTAACTAGATAATGTATATTTCATAACAACAATCGATAATAACGAAATGTTTAGGATTCATTTTCAACTTTGATAAAGTGATCATTTTTTGTTGATTTTGAAGTTTATGTTTATATCTAAGGTCATGTAAACAACATTTTGATCTCTTATTACCTTTACCATTCAACTGTTCTTCATTAGGTCCAATAAATTCTGAAGATGATGAAGAAGAACAAGAAGAACAACATGATGATGATGAAGAGTTGGACGAAAAGGAATATGATAATGTACATACTGACTTTGGGAAAATAGGTGATTATTTTAAAATCATTGATTTCATCTCAATTAACCAATTTGCTAGTTGGTCTACTTCAATTGTTCGCCTTGGTGAATGTAAACTATTATTCAATGTCCAGAAATCATAATGATGAAGTGAATTCTGTTGAAAAACAATTGATAAAATAAACATTGAAGTTTAATTGGTTAAAAAGTGTCAGATAAAAATTGCTGTTTGAAGTTGTGAGGACGACCCATGGGTGAACTCGAGGAAGCTATAAGAAGCTTAGAAAAAGAGCTGAAGATATTCCATCATCATTATAGCCCTTAAATGTGCATACAGGTGGTTATTAGCATTTGTCCAATAGGGAAACTGCACATAGGGATTCTGGAATATTCTTCCAAAAGATGATTGAATGGAATATCTTCAGCTCTTTCTAAGCTTCTTATAGCTTCCTCGAGTTCACCCATGGGTCGTCCTCACAACTTCAAACAGCAATTTTTGTCTGACACTTTTTAACCAATTAAACTTCAATGTTTATTTTATCAATTGTTTTTCAACAGAATTCACTTCATCATTATGATTTCTGGACATTGAATAATAGTTTACATTCACCAAGGCGAACAATTGAAGTAGACCAACTAGCAAATTGGTTAATTGAGATGAAATCAATGATTTTAAAATAATCACCTATTTTCCCAAAGTCAGTATGTACATTATCATATTTTGTTGCGGACGATGGATCCCCAAACTCATATTTTAAGTTTTATCGCATCGATCAATTTATTGATTAAATGTCTAAATATTTGTATTGGGGTCAATTTATGAACTGATCGATTAAATGTTTGATTAGCAGTGAATTGATGAACTATCGATTAAATGCGCAAATAGGTCAATTAATGAACTCATTGATTAATGTTTGAAAATTTTCTATGACAATATCGATTGTAAATAATTGCATAAATACGCTTGACTTATATGCTTGATCTGATCTGCCTGCCTGACTTGGTATCTGCTGTTGCCTTTAGAATACACTTTCTACGCCTTACCAAGACTTCTTGATCGAGTTAGCTGAGTCGAAGACAACGGACCAGAATAGTCTATTGAGTCTCTGAATCCTGAGCCTTCGTTCCGTACCGAATAAGTCGAATCAGTAGTATCCTCAAGGTTAACGAACCTAACATATACCTTTTCGTCCAACTCTTCATCATCATCATGTTGTTCTTCTTGTTCTTCTTCATCATCTTCAGAATTTATTGGACCTAATGAAGAACAGTTGAATGGTAAAAGTAATAAGAGATCAAAATGTTGTTTACATGACCTTAGATATAAACATAAACTTCAAAATCAACAAAAAATGATCACTTTATCAAAGTTGAAAATGAATCCTAAACATTTCTTTATTATTGATTGTCGTTATCCACACGAATGTAATGCTGGACATATTTATAGTGCTATTAAACTATGAGATTGGCCAAAACTTTATAAATATTTTTTTGGTATATATCAACAATCTATTGAAACTACTGAAATGGATTTAAGTAACTCATTATATTCAACGGAACAACTGATTAAACCATAACCATCTCATACTATATTTATATTATATTGTGAATTTTCTACAAAACGTGCACCACAATTATTTTATCTTTTACGTACTCATGACAGAGTATTACATTTCACTTCATATGCTGCATTAAAATATCCATTTGTTCTTGTTCTTCTTCTTGTTCTTCTTCTTGTTCTTCTTGTATGTTTCCCTTCACGATTCCATGTTATCGCTTGTCTCATGATGTAGTTCGATTCCAGTTCAATACTATTTACTTGTTACTTATTTATTTCACAATTATTTTCATCTCATTTCTTCTATTCATAATGATTAATATAAGCAACATCGATTCAATTCATTTTGATCGAAAAGTTTTCTCTCAAACGCAATTCATTAACATTGCAACCTATTCAACATTGAATATGTTTCTTTTAATTCAATCATTATTAATGTCTCTGTTTAAATATATTTTTCTTTTATTTTCATTGGTTGATTAACTAGAATTAAAAGAGAAAAGCTTGACAAATACAACTTAAAAATGAGTTTATATATATATAGAGAGAAACCTAAGGCCCTGGGTTCTAATCCCGTGAGCGGGATCGTGGATGCGTACTGTTAAGGAGTCCCATAATATAATGAAACGGACAGCCAGTGCTTCTAGGTTTTCAACAGCGGTCTAACATCATTCGGTTCATGATCCCAATCATTAAACGTGTAATAATGTATTCAACTATTTATTCATCTGACAGTAGACTGTAATAAAGGAATAATGAAATCATTAAAAATGATTGATATTCAGAAGAGTTACAATAAACTGAATAGCTCAAATATTGATTTATTTAGCCTAAATAAAGCAATTTGTTGGTAGCAGGGAAATCCAGGAAGTGCGTTTTTCCTGATCTAGCACTTATCATTTCGGTGTACTTTCATTCAAGTTGATCTTCTCTCCGAAGCTCAAACCCAGTACTGTTCTCTTCAAATGCCATTCCGTTATCCACTTAACTACTAAGTACAGATAGCTACTGCCTTTTGGAGTGGAGTTAATTTTAATTTATACATATTGCTTGTTTGGATCTTTTCATTAATAGTTTACTAATGCAATTTCGAGATGGTGGAAAAGATTTGTAGCTCAAGTGAACAATTTTGATGGAGTTTCGTCCTCTGAACTGGATGGTCTAGTCGTGGAGCATTCATCGTTCTTCTGAACCACATTGTCAGCACAAACTTCAGGTAGACTTCTTCAGGTGACTTCTACCTGAAGATTTGTGCTGATGATGTCGTTCAGAAGAACGATGAAAGATCCACGACCAAACCATCCAGTTCAGAGAACAAAACTTCATCAAAAACTAATGCAAATGTTAAGTCTCTTCTGATATACATACATCCTATATGGATTGCCTAGATATTGTCATTAATTTTCAAGCATTTTAAGCAAAGATGAATAGTGTCTAGCAATGGAATCTAGGATGCATGTTTTACCCTACTCGGATTTCATAAGGTGAACTTACCTGTTCAACTACAGTCATAAAACGTAAATAGGAAGATGCAAACAACTAATATTTATAATTATAATCATAGAGAGGATTTCTGGAGATTTTACTACGACCGTATGTGGTACTAGGTTTCCACTGTACAAATCGCAACACTATCTCTTTTCATCATAGAGATAACCATAGACTTATGTGATCCGATGGAAATAGTGAAGAAAAAGACAACAGCAATAGAGATCTTAATTCCCAACAGTAATCCATCAAAACTGTCGTAATACACAGAATTTTTTGGTTTGACTTGTGAATTAAGGCAATATCGAGGCATACGCACAGTATGCACATATGCCAGTAAGAGACTGATCAATTGTGGACTTAAACCTCAATGGGAAGGTACAAGTCAAACTATACCAAGTGAAGTATATGACAATTATTTTCATGTTTTGACCAGAAAAATTGTACTTTCATTCAAGCTAATATCAAAACATTTGTGGTTTAAAGTTATCGTTCACACCTAGACCCCTTATCAATGAGCAATTCTCTACACTCTTCCCTTTTGAACGCAAACTATTCTCTTGATTATTATTATTATCGCTATTATTATCAGTTATTATCATACCCTTGAAATTTATCATTTGATGTAGAGAATAATAATCATAATCGTTTTAACGACAGTTATTGTAATTCTTTTTAAAAAAATAATTTTTGATTGAGATCGTGAACTGATTGATGTGAGACCATCACTGAAAATCCGAAAGCACTGGATGACCGTTTCGTTCTGTTGTGAGACTCCTCAGAACTGCGTATCCAAGATTCAGCTCACGGGATTCAAATCTAGGGTCTCGCGCACCAATGCTTAAACTTCGAACCAGTGAGCAGGCATCCAACGGTGTTAATGTCTAACTTCGATCAACCCATGAAATTTTGCGACCATCTTCCATTGTACTGAGGTAGATACCTGTCTCTACCCCACAAGGATTAGCTCCACTGATCACAGCTTCTCACTGGAGCTCCGAGAACTCCCTCCCGAGGCTAGTCACTAGTTACTAGTCACAATGTGAGATGGTCGCGCAACTTCGCGGATTGGTTAAGGTTAGACATTAACACTGTTGGATGCCGACTCAATGGTCTAGTAGTTAAGTGCTTTAGTGCAAGGCTGAAGGCCTTGGGTTCGAATCCCACGAGGTGGGATCATGGATGCACACTGGTGAGGAGTCCCACAATAGGACGAAACTGCCGTCTTGTGCTTTCAGGTGTTCAATGGTGATCTAACATCATTCGGTTCATGATTTCAATTTAAACAAAAGCATAATTAATCTCCACAACCTCATAATGAAAAATTATTTTATTTTATTTTACTTTTTGTCATTGTTTTTTTTGAATTATTATTATTTAGCTACACTAATTTAACATCAAAACCATTTTCATGTTCAATATGTCATCGAGGCTTTTGTCAATCACGTTCATTAGAAAATCATAAACCTTCAAACCATCCAATTAAAAAAGATGAAACCGGTACAAAATTCAATGATAATCATTCGACTAGATTGATTTATACAACAGCTAATATTATTCCTATAAATGACATGAATACTACTACTACTACTACTACTACTACTACTAATAATAATAATAATAATAATAATAATAATAGTAGTAGTAGTAGTAGTAGTGCTAGTACTAATATGAATATCTGTACTACAAATTGTGACGTGATCAACATAATAAGAAATAATAAGGCGGTATAAATACAATTTAAATAATGTATTCAACAATTGTTTTCATGGTTAATATTTTGGTTTGTTTTGTTTTAATGAATGAACAAAATGAAAAGAAAAATACTTTATTCACTTTCTAATGAATGATTCATGTGTTATTTAATTCATTTACATTTTGATTTATTTTTCATTTCGTTTAAAGAAATAAATATATTTTATAAAAAGGAAAAGAAAATTAATTTTGGTTACTAAGCAAAGATGGATAGTGACTAATAGTGGAATTCAGGACGTGTGGTTCGTCTTAATTTGATACTCATCACTTGGTGTGAATAACAAATCTGAGATGTGGGCACATCCAGCTGATGAGTTTCAAGTAGGATGAAATGCGTGTTCTGGATTCTATTGTTATCCACCCTCTGTCTTTGTTTATAATGCTTGTGACTTAAGACAACATTGGGGCAATACACACAGAATGCATATATGCCAATAAGAGATTGATCAATTACAGTCCTAAACATCGATGGGAAGATTGAAGTAAACGTTGCCAAGTGAATTTAATATTAGTTAAATTTAATTTATCCTGGTACATCCAACTGATGAGTCTCAAATAGAAGGAAACGCGCGTCCTGGATTCCACTGATAACCATCATGCACCTTTGCTTATAATATTTGTTAATTAAGGCATTATCAAAGCAATCCGTACAGGATGTACCCATTCCAATAAGAGACTGATCAATTGCAGTCCTAAACATCAATAGGACGATTCAAGTAAACAATACCAAGTGAATTTAAATAATTTCTTTTCTTATGCAATACTATTTGGATATTTTACATAGAATAACAACTACAAAGTAATCTATATGTATTGAACTTGTAGAGTTATCCAGGCAAGTAAACTGAATACAACAGTAAGCATTGACTACACCATATTTTAATATTATTAAGAAGAAATACAAATATTTTCAGATAAACTGTGTAAGAACAAAACGCTTGAAGTGACTAGTCATTGAATGTGAATTATTTAAATGACCAGTAATTAGTTCATTTGCACCTCTGAGTCTTTATATCTGTAAACTATAACTTCATTGATTGAAACGCAGTTTCATCATTACTAATGATCAGTGCTTTAATGACTAAATCACTGAAATTAATACAATGTATTTCTTTACTAATGATATCTGACAATCGTAAAGTATCAGGGTGGAGTGTTGCATGGTATATTTACTGTTTATTTAGTCGATCAATGTGTCTTACTGGGTCTCAAGTTGGCAAAAAATAAGCAAGGTTTTGGCCTCATTACAGTAATGTTATTGCAACTTGCCAGTATAGGGTTGCTGAGTAACTTAAATTAACAAAGTAGTCTGTATGCGCAATCTCCTCACTTCTTACAGTTAATGGAAGTGATGTTGTAGATCTCTTGAAGAATTATATTTATTGCATATATGAAACAGATACCAACCATTTTCGGATGTTAGGTGTTAAATTTACATTCTTTTCTTTCATAGTAACGCACTGAGGCTAACAATAGAAGCAAATATGAGCAGTATATTTATGAATTTTTGAGTCTACGCATAAATATAACCTAACCAGTTGATAAATTAGTTGACAAAACTAATCCTCACTGCTTTAAAGGCCGTAGGTTCTTACTCAAACTTCGAGTGAATGTATCCTCACCAAATCAATTGATTCATGAAACAAATTTACTAATTCTGTATTTTAATAGTTAAATTCATGAGTCGATTAAAGCTAGACCACCATAGAAAATCTGAAAGAATTGGATGGTCGTTTCATCCCAGCATGAAACTCCTCAGCAGTGCACATCCACGATCTCGCCTGCAGGACTCGAACCCAGGACCTTTGATCTACGCGCGCGAACGCTAAACCCGTAGATCACTGGGCCAGTACGCAACGGCGAACCGTCGTGCTATTTCTTGGATTGGTTGAAGTAAGACATTAACACCGTTGAATGCCGGTTTAGTGGTCTAGAGGTTAAGCGTTTGCACGCGAGACCGAAAGTCCCGAGTTCGAGTCCAGCGAGAGAGATCATGGATGTTCACTATTGGGAAGCCCCATAATGAGACGAAACGGCCGTCCAGTAGTTCCAGGTTTTTCATGGTAGTCTAGCTTCAACTGACTCATGATTTCAACCAGTGACATTCTGTATTTGTTATAATCACTTACTTAAAAAAACACTTATTTTTATACATACTGATGATGACTACTGCGTGTAAACAATCTAGGCCATCTCAATCAACAGTCTTCAAGTAATCTATTTGATTAGATTATTAGGTCTAGCAATTAAACAGATTTCATATTTACGATAGTTAACAAGTATTGTATCCAACCATCAATACCTTCTAATTTATGATATTAAAATAAATCATTTGAAATGAACCAGATTATTCTAAATGAAACATATGAGATTATTAACCTAGTCATTTTGTATATACCTATAATCAGATTCAAAATACACATTCGTATACATATCTAGTTTATAAGGGTTAGTTATCAGTATATCATTGAACTATTGGTATGTTTCCCTTTAATTTGTTTATAGGATAAAGCTGGAATTATATATATATATATATGTGCACTGTTGTAATGTCATATTTTTCAATGTTATTTTATGTAAATTAAGTCATTTCGGTTGAATTTATGAAGACTGCGTAATGCTTGTAAAACTCATCAGTATACATATATGAAATCATGAATCTCGAAAAGAGTGAATTACAACTTGATGGATCCAATGGAAACTAACATGTATTAGTATACTGTTTTAATTTATACCAATGTTTGTCAATATATAGAGGAATATCACAAAGGGTTTTTCGTGGATATTATAGTAATTTCAATGGTTGAGATGATGAGTCAATTGAAGCTAGACCGTCATGGAAAACCTGGAAGCACTGAATGGCTATTTCATCCTATTGTGGGACTACTAGAATTTCCATGGTGGTCTAGCTTCAAATGACTCATGATCTCAATCATTGAAATTAATATAATATCCATAAAAACCCTTCTGATATGAATCAACATATGTTCAATAGTGACTGGCTTCAAGAGGTATTACCTAGGGTTCTAGTGAGAAGCAGTGATCAGTGGAGTTCAACCGAGTCTGTTGTGAGATAGTAACACAATGACGGCAATGGTGGATGCCGGTCGGTTCAGTGGTCTAGTGGATAAGCGCTAGCGCAAGAGATTGATAGGTCCTGAGTTCGAGTCTTGTGAAGCGAGACCGTGGATACGAACTGCTGAGGAATCCCACAATATGACAGAAAAGCCGTTCAGTGCGTCTAGGTTTTCCATGGTGGTCTAGATTCAATTGACTCATGGTCTCAGCCAATGAAATATAGAAGAATAGTTTAACAGAAATCACAAGCAATATGTATAAATTAAAATTAACTCCACTCCAAAAGGCAGTAGCTATCTGTACTTAGTAGTTAAGTGGATAACGGAATGGCATTTGAAGAGAACAGTACTGGGTTTGAGCTTCGGAGAGAAGATCAACTTGAATGAAAGTACACCGAAATGATAAGTGCTAGATCAGGAAAAACGCACTTCCTGGATTTCCCTGCTACCAACAAATTGCTTTATTTAGGCTAAATAAATCAATATTTGAGCTATTCAGTTTATTGTAACTCTTCTGAATATCAATCATTTTTAATGATTTCATTATTCCTTTATTACAGTCTACTGTCAGATGAATAAATAGTTGAATACATTATTACACGTTTAATGATTGGGATCATGAACCGAATGATGTTAGACCGCTGTTGAAAACCTAGAAGCACTGGCTGTCCGTTTCATTATATTATGGGACTCCTTAACAGTACGCATCCACGATCCCGCTCGCGGGATTAGAACCCAGGGCCTTAGGTTTCTCTCTCTATATATATAAACTCATTTTTAAGTTGTATTTGTCAAGCTTTTCTCTTTTAATTCTAGTTAATCAACCAATGAAAATAAAAGAAAAATATATTTAAACAGAGACATTAATAATGATTGAATTAAAAGAAACATATTCAATGTTGAATAGGTTGCAATGTTAATGAATTGCGTTTGAGAGAAAACTTTTCGATCAAAATGAATTGAATCGATGTTGCTTATATTAATCATTATGAATAGAAGAAATGAGATGAAAATAATTGTGAAATAAATAAGTAACAAGTAAATAGTATTGAACTGGAATCGAACTACATCATGAGACAAGCGATAACATGGAATCGTGAAGGGAAACATACAAGAAGAACAAGAAGAAGAACAAGAAGAAGAAGAAGAAGAAGACGTTCGAAGAATACACTATGTCGGAACTTGGAAACAGACATGAAAATAAATGAATAACAATTGAAAAGAACTAGTTGATAAGTGATCTCCTCGCATCTCATTAAATTCCTTATCTAGTACAAATAGAATCTATAGTAAGAAGGTAACACTTTTGAAAAGGGTTGAAACATTAAAATAAATGTAAAAGTGAATGGGATAATTGCTATTTCTTATTGGTTATATAACTCAATGATTCTGCCCACAGTCGACTTAATTATCTTGATAATTTGCCGTAAAAGCACATTGACATCGAATGGGGTTTTTGTACATATTATAGTCATTTCAATAGTTGAGATAATGAGTCAATCGACGCTAGACCACCATAGAAAACCCGGAAGCGCTGAACGGTCGTTTCGTCTCATTGTCGAACTCCTCAGCAATGCGCATCCGAGCTCCCATCTCGCGAGATTCGAACTCAGGACCTATCGGTCTCGCGCACCGACGCCTAACCACTAGACCACGGAGCCGGCCGGCCGGCATCCAACAGTGGTAATATCTAACCTCAACTAATCCACAAAATTGAGCAACACATTCACCATATTTAGATCATTGCATTCGGCTACGAAGAATGGGAACTTCAACATCAGTTAATTGGTCATTTTCATTTTCCTATTATCGAAGGTTAACTGAAGTTCAAAATTTGAAACATAGTATGACGAATTATGGAACTACGTCCACTGTTGGAACTTGAAGTGATTAATTTATTCCTAGGTATGACCACCATAGCTCATTGATAAACAAATTGACAGCGATAACTAACAAATCTAATGGATATCATGTATGTATATATATCTTGTGAATATAAATAAGTAATCAATCTCATTGTGGACATGATTAAATGACATAATATAGTTATTCGGAAGTGTCTACAGCTAATGAATGAGTTTAGCAAATCCTATCAG